GCAATTTCTTTTTATTGAGAGAAATATTCCAGTTTTAATCTCCCTTGTCAGTATTAAGGAACGATGTAAATGTGTGTGGGCTTTTACCTGAGGAAGTAAGCAAGCAAGCAGAACAATTGAAAAACAATGTTAAAAATTGGGACAAAATGTTCTGAAGAATGTTGTGCATTATTCTTTCATTTGCAGCTACATAGATCGATCGATCGATCTATCTACCTACCTACCTACCCATCCTACCTATCTATCTATCTATCTCCATCCATCCATCAAGACAAAATGTTCTGAAGAATGTTGTGCATTATTCTTTCATTTGCAGCTACATAGATCGATCGATCGATCTATCTACCTACCTACCTAGACAAAATGTTCTGAAGAATGTTGTGCATTATTCTTTCATTTGCAGCTACATAGATCGATCGATCGATCTATCTACCTACCTACCTACCCATCCTACCTATCTATCTATCTATCTATCTATCTATCTATCTATCTATCTATCTATCTATCTAGCAGATAGATAGCTTAATAGGAAATCCTTGATTAGATCTGTATTGTTCGATATCTTTGGTACTGATAGAATGACTCTTTTTTTATATCCACTTTTTGTTTGTTTCATTTCCTGGTGATGCAGTTCCTTTGTGGGGTGAGGTGTGACTGGCTGTCCTAAGTGATACCCAGTTGTTCACAACAGAAGAAACGTTCGGTCTGACCTGACCTCCTCAAATTAGATGAAAGCTTGAGAGGACAAATGGGTTCTGGTTGTTGTGGGGAAAGGTTATGAACACTAGCACTGAGAGCAAGTTCTTGAACTAAATGTGTGCTCAGAGGTATCTTGGTTACTTATTTCTGAGTGTACACCTGCTGCTCTTTGCCCAGTTCATGGACAGAGTTGATGCACATCTCAGTTCTTAGACCCTATCGGTGTTTTCTTTGTGTTTGTCCCATGTCTCTGTTTTGCCCTCTAGGTTCTACTGGGACCTCACAATGTTGCTCCTCATGGTTGGAAATCTGATCATCATCCCAGTAGGCATCACCTTCTTCAAGGATGAGAACACAACCCCATGGATTGTCTTCAATGTGGTCTCAGATACCTTCTTCCTCATTGACTTGGTCCTCAATTTTCGCACGGGGATTGTGGTGGAGGACAACACGGAGATCATCCTTGACCCCCAGAGGATTAAGATGAAGTATCTCAAAAGCTGGTTTGTGGTGGATTTTATCTCATCCATTCCAGTAGACTATATTTTCCTGATTGTGGAGACCCGCATCGATTCAGAGGTTTATAAGACAGCCCGAGCTCTGCGGATTGTGCGTTTCACCAAAATCCTCAGCCTCTTGCGGCTCCTGAGACTGTCTAGGCTCATACGGTATATCCATCAATGGGAAGAGGTAAGTATAGACAAAGTAGCTGTCCTAAGGAGTGCAGGAGGAAGGGGTGTGGACAGATGCCCATTCTAAGGCAGAACGTATTGAACCCTGATGGGTTTTTCTGGATCTATTTACACTGGTTGCTCCCAAGAGAAGCCCCTAGAAATATAGTCCTTTATTTCAGCTAAGCTGGCTGGGAATTCTGGGAGCTGTAGTTCCAGCCTCTCTGGAGGGCACCAGATCAAGCCAAGATTTACAAGGATTTTAAGTTTATTTAAGACTGAATTTAACAATGTAATGGGAACCCATTCAGATAGTCTCATCCAGGTATTGTAATGTCTTGTCTTCTCTTACTTCAAAATCTGCTAAGCCGATCCTGCAATTCTGGGACTCTCCTAGTCCTTCTGCTGCAGAAAGCCCTGGGTCTCTGTCCAAGTCCTGCCCTGAAGCCACCACTGGAAGTGGCTATTTGTCCAGGGCCACTGGCTCTGTTGTTTCTTGAGCTGGACTTCTCACAGAGGCACTTCCAATGAAACAGGATCTCTGCTTCTCTCCTCCAAATCTTCTCACTGTGTAGTTTTTCTGAGGAGCTGAGGAGAAAAATCAGTTACTGGTGCTGGATATTTTATAGGCTGAACTCAGGTGTTCACTCTTCGGAAAGGGGGAATGAATGTTGAAGGCAAGGAGATGAGACTCACTGGTGAATTTTCATACACCTTCTAAGATGGCACCACCATATCTATTTCTTTAGAATCTCTAGGGATTGCTGCAAATGTTGCCTCCCTCTCTCATCCCAGAATTTCACCTCTGCCAATGAAATGTAAAGAAAAGGAAGTGTTTTTGGATCCTTCAGTTTAATCTTCTTTCAAATTCAGACTGAAAATTCTCTGCTGGGAATCTATGGCAAATCATTGGCTTGTCAGATGCAACTGATTCCTCTCTCGTTCCCCATCTTCTCTCCCTACGTATCCCTCTGTGGGCTCTACCATTCATTGCTTGGCTGACCAGGAGGGTGCCATTAGACTTTGGGTGGTTCCTCCATAGGCTGCTAAATCAGATTGCAGGACCAAGTATCCCAGGGAACCACAATGTAGGTCTCATGATGGATTGCTCAGCCTTGCAAACATCACCTTTTCTTTACACTTCGCTCTATTTGGTGGTGGGGCCAGACGTGCTGGTGGCCATTTCTTCCTGCCCCGCTTCCCCAGAAGCTGCAATCTGGCTTTCCACCAGGGCTAGGGAAGGGTCTGATTTCTAAAAAGGCTAATGGAGAGACGAGTAGTGCGTAATAGGCTAAAAACCAAAGGTAAATATTTGAATAACTTGATTGCTACATTTTGGAGCAAGGATGGAGAAAGGAGAGTAAAGTGGGTTTTATCAGGCTAATTCTGGTAACCACAGCTTGAATTCCATGGGGTGTTCTGTGATTAGGGAACTTGATAAGGGGCAGATGGCTAGCTTGGTGATAGTAAAAGTGGAGTTTGATAAGCATCATGGCTGGATTTAAGAAGAAGGATAATGAAAAGGTTATGAAAGAGTATGACCACTGTGAGAGAGAGATCTGTTATCAAGGACATTCAAGTGTCTCAGGCCTGTGCTTGGCTCCTAACACTGCAGCAGAATGAGATGCAAACATTTGATTGGTGAGAAATGATAGCTGGGAAGAGGACACCTAACTCCATGATTTTTCTTTCTTGTGTCTGGGCTGCTGAGCACAAAAAACCAGAATAGAGAAAAGATCCCTCTTTCTCCCACAGGAACCTATTCTTCATGTAGAATGTTGAATGGTGTGTAAATGTGGTTTATCTCTGTGTGTCTGTTGATGGCTGATTTGTCTGAATGCCAAGCTTCCAGGAATTCCCTAGTGTTTTTGGATTTGGCTTGGTCTAGGACGCTGACCATTTCCCAGTTGAAACCATGGTTGAGTCTGTTCATGTGTGGTGAGATTAAGAAGTTTTCATTGTGTCTTCTGACTTGCTGGTCGGTGTTCATGGATGACCACATCTATTCCCATCTTTCAGGATGTTGAGTCAGTGAAGACACAGCTATGATTGATGGGGCTATCTGTAGAGAGAAGAGGACTCACCCTTCTTAAATGCAGGAAGGGTTTCCCTGATTCACAGAAGCCTTGCTTTTGGTGTACTCTTCTGGAACAGCATTGCTATTTGTAGAAGCCATTAGTTTTGCCTTCCAAGAAAACACAGATGTTTTCCACTGAAGTAAGAAATGAAACATTGCTATTTGGCTGCTTTGAATGTGAGTGTCTGTATATCTGTCCCTGGATACAGAAGCAAGTTTCTTGTATGTACTTGCCTCACTGAGTGGTGGATTTCTACTGTAGGTCTTCTGCTTGTAGGGATGTTGATGCTAAGATGCTGCTCATTCAACTTGCGAATGGTCCTTGAACTCCTGGCTGAAGAGGGGGACCAAGTGGGCTTCCTTTCTGTCACATGGCTTGAGCAAGAAGAGTCCACCCTTGGGGGAGCTGCGTTTGGCAGGGCCATGAGTCAGAACGGGCATGGCTCTATCATACTTGTAGGTATGCGGCTATGATTCTCAGTTTCTTCCCCCGTTATTTTGGGATAGACTTGTCTATCGGGAGTTATAGAATGGTTTTTAGGTGTATCCCACCCCAAAATGATGAGAAACAGGGCTGCCAACATTTAGCACTGCTGCGTTTTGGAGAAGGTACCCAAGTTCCCACCAAAAGGGTCTTGGGGTCACAGGTTGGTGATTTGGAGTGAGCCCTTACTTTTCATTCCTTGGCCAATCAAGGAGCATTGAGCCACCTCCGATTTTGAAGTCCAGCTTTATTCCAGGGTTGGCTGTTAAGAGGTGTGAAGGTTTAATGGGTGGTACCCATGTGGACAAAGTTATTTTCAGAGCACCACTGTGAAAATAATCACCTAAGAGACACTTTGCGGACACATAATTATTATCCTGTTTGCCAGATTAATGAATTCAGGTTAAGCTCATGGAGGGGGTTAGTTTGTTGTTTTTCATCCTCCTATGAAGTACACATCAAGGAGGCAACTTTTTTAGAGAGGAAAATCATCCTTTCTTGCTTGATTCCCAGACGTGGATTTCCTGAGGAACATCTTTTTTCACTGATATGGGATTGCTTAACAACTTGAAATGCCCTAGGTTGCTTGTAGTGGTGTAAGGAAGCCATTTCAGATGTTGAAGGTAATGGTTTAACTGGGATGAGGGTGGGAGGACTCTGAAAATCAAAGTAGGTAAACCTCTGAAATGTTTCTGTTATGGGGGTTGGAGAAGATGGGAGCATTTCTTAATATTTTAATGTTAACCTTTAGAAACAATACTGCAGTTTGGGGGCCTTTCCTTGTCAAAAGGGTAGAAATCAGCCCCCTTTTCAGCAATTATGCTACTGAAATTAAGTTGTGAGCAACTCGGAGGGGGGATGCAAAAAATGTTTGGGGTCTGATTGGACACTTGGGGCTGCAAGTGGCACCTCTTAGATGGGATTATGCCTTCCAGTTGTTCAAATGGCGAGATGCTGGAAATCTCACTCCATAATCCTGCCTTGTCTACCTCTGGCGGCTTGTCTGA